TGCTGTCCCATCCCTCCTGTACCCCCTCAAGTAGGGAGCAGCATCCCCACTGCAGGATCAGCTTGTCAAGGCACAGCAGCTCTTCTACCACCCTCACGTATCCAAGTTACCCAAAAACACACAGTGAAGTTATCTCCTGTAAACTACGAAGAGGTAAGGTGCTCCGCATTACCAGATCCTCCTTCCTACTGAGCAGTTGTCAAAGCAGACTCAGGAGATTAAAAATTGCCCACTAGAAGTCAGAGCACTGATTTTCTCATCTCCTCAGACCCTCCCAGCTAACACCCCTGCAGGGCCACAACTTTGGGACAGAACGGCTGGGGGATAGTAATTGGTTCAGCCATCTCAGCTTAATCTGCCACCTGCACACAAGCATTGTCCCTATTCCGCAGCTCATTTCGGTCATCTACAGCTTCTGAGCATCAAGAGGCTTGAGATGGGTCCTGCTTCACCACTGCCTATACATGGCTCAGGATACGGAGTGGAACACCTTGCAGGGGACCCAAAAACTCAAGCCTGTGACTAAAGAGCAAGATTAGCCTCTACAATTATCCATCCCTCTCTCAGAATTACCCATCACATCACAGAAAACACACTCTGATTCACTCTAGAGCTGGAATCACTATGAAAGAGTCTCTTTAAATACAAATTAAAAGCGTGCCATCTGTAAATAAAGCAACCTGCCCTGCGAAGCCAGGCATCTACTCTGGGAAGAAAGGGCCTCAAGTAGAAGGCCATAAAATATCTCAGTAGGACTGTTGGGGTTTAAATTCCCCCTTTGAAGTACCACACAGGGTTGTTATGTGTGCTAATGAAAGGCTCAGCATTCTCAGCTGAGTTAAGCACTATGAGGAATTAGAGATGCCGTGTGCCAGCCGCTATTTTCTGTGCAGTCACTGGCGATGCTTTTGCTGCAGTTTGACTCTCTGAGGCCTTAAAAGTGGCGTTGCTGAGATATTCCTCAGAAGGAGGGAAGGAATAAAGCAGAAGCAGGTGTATTGTACAAAAACAAACAAAAGGGGCTTATTTCTGAGGAGTGCCGAGCACCAATACCTTGCCACAGTGCCAGCAGGAAGCACAAGTGTTCAGCAGCACTCCAGATAAGCATGTGCAAATAAGGGTCAGAGACACAAATGTGTAGAAATAAAAGTCACCTACCCTCTAATTCCTCATACTCTTTTTGGTTATTTTCATTTGCAATAGATGAAGGCCAGATAAAGCATTTACTGTGTACTGTAACCAACAATGAAATCAACTGTTTTTGAACAAAAATCCCCATGTCTCTCTGCTGTCTAAAAAAAGACTGCACAGGACGTCTCTCACAGTAGATGTACAGTATTACCAGGTGGACCAAAGCCAGGAGTCAAAGCCAGGATAACAGCAGAGAGAAAATGACTGTGATAAGCTATTAACAGCAGCTCGGTGCCTTCTAAGCTTAGCCTCCCTTTTCCCAGCAGGCAAGGTTCTGGATGCTGCTCCATTGAACACTGCCTTAAGCAACATGGCCTCATTCATTTGAGCATCTGTTTCACCTGCTAAAGAGCAGCGTATTTGGTCTTGCACGGGCTTGAAGTGACATAAAACTGCACAGCAGCCTTGAGAACACTTCCAGGGAAATTTATGGTGAAGGGAGAACAGATGCTTTAAAAAATAAAATAAGTAAAGCCTCTCTTGTTTGATCCATAGAAGTACTTCTATTTGTCCCTTAAACAAACCCTGACTTTCTATTCCTTGAGCTGAAAGGTTGGTGCAGAGGCTCCAGAATGAAGCATCCTAACAAGCACGGCAGCCTCAGTCAACACATGGTCCCTGGGATGTCAGTGGTGGAAGCATCCTGCTCGGCTTCTCGCTGACAGAACTGAACTCAGCAGCAGACTCAGAGAAGCAGTCCTGCTCCAGTGCTCCTCCATTCCCCACAGCAGAGGATCGTTAACCCGGCGGTAACGGTGCACCATGAAGTTTTGTTATTACCCTGGAATCACTTAACACCAGACAGGTCTCGGTAACAGCAGAGAAAGAATATTAACAGACAGCACTCTTTGGAAAAATAAATAAATAACCTCCACACACTTGTTTCTGCTTACACTTTGATCAGTTCCAAGAAGTCTGTTTTTCACCCAGCGTGCTGCTGTCAGGATACACACAGTCTCACAGTTGACTCCCGTTTGCCACAATTGTTTCCTCCAGAAGAGCTCCTGCCTTAGGAATACACGTTATCTTTACAGATCCAGACTGTCAGCAGCCTGAGATACAGTGAACTAAACAGCTCACCATCACCCAAAAATGAAATTTGTTCCCCCTTTTCCCACTTCATCTCTCCCTACGTTTCCTTATCAGCTCTGTTGTGCACTGCTACTGTCCATAAGCCAGAAGAAATGGAATCCAGCTCAGATGCACACGAGATTTCTGCCTCAGACTTCCCCCAGCCCCCTCCCAACAAGGTTTCTGGGCAAGACCCAACGTAATCAGAGGTTATCTGTTGAACAGAATGGCTAAACGCTCCCGTCTCTTTTTAGAAAACCCCCAGTCCCTCTAGATGTAGGAAATGGCTGAGTCATTCTCTTCGTAGAAAATAAACACATCATAAGTATCTTAGCACCTAAAAGGTTAGGCTATAATGCTGTAGTGGTATTACACTAGGAGAACAGTCCTAGACCTTCTCTGGAAAATATGAGGAACATTCTTTTTTGTTTGTTTTTCCAGGATAGCTACTATGACTAGTTTTCACAAACAGTTTCATCAGAAGTTACAAAATATGGTTGTTATATGAACTAACATTTGGACTGCAATGCTTATAACAAGCCCCAGCAGCAGATGAAGTTTTTTCCTTTGGCCACAGCCTCCACAGTTTTCCTCTCATTTGGATTCCCTAATACCTGAAACTTTGAGCACATGGCATGGGTGTTTCCTATGGAGCCATAAATAAGATCCAACTCACCAACAATTTTCAGGGAACTTACAAGAACTGAACACCTTTAAAGCAATGCCTGTGTCAAATAAAATTACACTTGGTAAATAGATCTGGAAATTTCAGAGACAAAACACAGACACACAAAAAAAAAAAAAAAAAAAAAAAAGAAAAGATACAACAAATGTGCATGAGCTCAAATGCCCAGGCCTTATTTCCTTAGAAACCAGGCTAAGGACAAGAAAATCTGCAGTGTCTGTAGCATCAAGACTGAATTGTAAAGCCTTGTGCATGTTTCTCACTGGATAAACTCAAACATAGAAATATTCCCTTTCCCCCCACATTATACAGCTGCAACACACAGGAGTAGAATAAACACACTAGAATAAATAGCCACAAGTGCATGGTAGCACACAGCACAGATGAGACTGTGATAAACATCATTGTCCCAGAGAATCAGCTGATGTACTATCAGCACCCAGGGTAGAAAGAAAGGATGCTTGGGGAGATTATCTGCATTTATGATTCAGTGGAACCAAGTCCAAATTTCAAACAACTCCACTGAGATCTTGAACCATGAAAGGGATTTCATAAAGTAAAAGGGTTGGATAAAAAATTGTCCTCTGTGTCTACCAGCCCTTCTGGGGAATAAAGGGAGAATGGCGCAGCACTAGCAACTACTTTCCAAGTTCTTTAACTCAAATGCTACACCAAAATTCACAGTGAACAGCATAAAGATTAAATGATTTTGGGGAGTGAGCGTACATGGCTTGTTTCATATACAGAGGAAGCAGTCCAAATGCATGCAGTTTTCAGACAAACAGCAGAATTTCATTCTTCAGATTTTGTGTAGCATAGGAAACTAGTGAGTTACAAGAGAGATGACTCCAATAATGCTGCTCCAGAGTACATCAGAGGAGACTTCTTCCTGCAAGAAGTCCAGAACGGTTTAGATGTAGACTTGTAAGTGGCAATGATGTGGCTGTATCAATGTGCAAAGTGGTAGAGTTGTGTTGAAGAACCTCAAAACATACAGAAGCGGAAAGCATTTTTTTTTGACTGGGCACTGGACAGAGCAAACATGAAGTTGGTCTGGGTCAGAGATCTTCCCTAGCTTGTGGGGAAATTTATCAAAAAAAAAAAAAAGAACAGAAATAAAAGTATTTCTGACCACATCAGTTGATAAGAGGTCTTGATCACAGGAAGACTGACTGTCCATTTTTAGCACTCTGTGTACAGTCTCAGTCTCTCTGGGTAAAACATCAATCTGTCTGTTGTGGAGAGCATGCATATATATCTTTAGAAATATTCGGCATGGTTGTGCAGAAATAAGTTCTTCCATTACTATTTCTTTAACTGAAGGGAAGGTGCTTGGTTGTCCGGCAGTGCGATCTTTGAGCCAGTGGAAACAGGAAAAAAAAACATGAAACCTGTTCACAAGCTGATTATTATGCAGATCAGCAATCGTTATCCTTTCTCTCATTACCTCAAATGCTTTCTGCCATCTGTTGGTAACAAACCTGCATCTGGCAGATTACCAGAGGCGCCCTAATCAATGGGTAATTGGGGTAGAGGATTGTGGGGACAATCCTGGCAATGAAAGCACAGAAAAAACTTAGAGCACAAGAAGAAAGTTTGCCTGTCACGAGCATGAGGTCTCACACCCAGTATTTCCCTACCATTCTGACAGAATTCCTTCTTGGAAGAGCATGGAGGGATAGACACAGATTTGTCACAGGCAATGGAACAAATTATACTAGCCTCTGTAATGATACCTTAAGCAAAAGGTTAATTCCCAACAAATTATGTCAGTAAACACTGCCAGGAGAGGCACGGTACAGAGCAAGCACAAACACGCATGAGTTTGCATTGCCACGCTTACACCTTGGAACCATCTGTTAATGAGAAGTGGAGGATGCTGTGGGCTTCCAAGTAATGCCTCCTAGCCTAGTATCTTAGTGCCTTCTGATAAGAATCGCCCAAAATACGGCCCCTGCAGGTTTTCTTCCCCCAGCCTTGCATTCAGGGTCCTTCCCAGTTTTGATCACAGCAGCTCAGATATAATATTCTTACTATTCCCCAAGAAAGTAAGTTTTTTTTTTTTTTAAATCATACTTACTGGTACTGAGCTCCCAATAGAGACATGATGACAGATTTAATCTGAATTTCAGAATAAGACAGTCTCAAAATTACTGGACTCTGCAAGTTTTGAGGGAAAGAGCTGAGCGGAGCAGAGCAGCCCAGCCAGCACCTCCACCAAGGGAAAGCCCAGGGGAACTTGCTGCTTGCCTCCTCTTCATCAGCTGGCTGATTGGTCAGCAAAATGCATTGGGCTAGTCTGTACACATGGAGCCGTCAAGGAAATGACACAGCTGCTGTCCATCCTCCACCTTAACCACCTAGAGAGTAAGAGGTGAAAGTGTAAGAAGTGTAAAGGCCTCTGGAAGAATCAGACCATCAGTTCACATTTCGAAGAACAAATCAATATAAAAACAGTACTGTACTGTTTAAAAGACCCAATCCATGCTATCTGCCCTTCCACCACTGTGTATAGATAGAGAACAATTTCAACTGGAAAAACATTTGGAGTGTTTGTCTCTCTCATCACATTATAGCAGTGCTCGATTTTAAGATATCCAGCAGTAATAAACCAGCAAGCCTATGTAATCTGCCAAAATAGATGAAAAGAGGCAGAAGAAGCAGTGATTCCTTTTTTACTGTGCTTTGCACGCCACTGCTGTGATACCCCTGCTTGCAGTGCCCCCAGCCCCTGGGAGGGCACACACGTAACCTCCATTGCCCAGACACTGCCCGGGGAGTGCCACATTCATTGCAGCGTGGAAGGAACAACAAATTCTTGTAGTAAGAAAGCAGCCCAAAGAAAAGAAGGAAGTAGAAATCCCTATAAATATCCAAATGCTGCCAGTGCCCACGCACACTGGGCTGGGATCCAAAGTAACTGTTTTGGGGTGATAAGAGTGCTTATTAAGCACCTGAGCATGGGAGAGGAGCACCAACACCCAAGCTATGATGTTAATGAGACTGTGAAAGAAACAACATCCTCCAGTAACCTAATACCCAGGCTGCTGTGACTAAAGAGTAAGAACACAAATCTTTACTATTCAAAGAGACCAAAATAAGAGGCTGCAACTGAAAGTTCATTTTAGAAGCATATTCCCAAGAGATACAGATCTTATATACTTCATGCTATTAAAAGGGGTGCCTTTGATATATACTGGATTTCACATTATGGTAGAGCAACATCCCCACTTGTTCAAATCCGATTTTATTTAAATTCAGCATTCCAAGGAAGTTGGTGCAACCTCCATCTAACAACTAGAGCCCGCAACATGCTGGTTCAGTTGCATTTACATCCCCATAGACAGTGGGTATTCAGACACGGTAACTTTTTCTAGGCTATCAATTTGAACTGCTACCAAAAAGCAAGGGTTTTGTATAGATTACAACCTGACTTCTAGGACTCATAGAAAGATTTCAGAGAGGTAACAGAAAAAGGGCTGGAAAAGAGAGAGACTTGGCATACTGCTTTTTTTGTTGTTGTTGTTTGCATTTGTTTGAAGCAGGGATATTGTGTAGTCCAATCTTCAAATACGGAAGGAGAACTCAATCCCCCCTGTGCAAGATCAAATAGCTGTTTGTCAACAGAAGGATTACTTTCTCCTGCCATCTTGAGCCTCCCATATTCATTAAATGGTATTAGTCAGAAAAAAGGGGTAACAGTGAAAGGCCAAATCCTATTTGGATGTCATTTGTGGCACTGGAAAACTCAGTGAGGAAATACAAAAATCCAAACTCATCTTCTCAACATAACCATGCTACTGTGAGCAACCTCTTTAGATTTTCATCTCAGACTTTAAGATGACTATTGCTTCACTGCTTAGCTCTGAACAGCCACAACAGGCAACAGAGAGGTGGCACTAATTCAAAGACACGATGCTTAATTGTCCTGCTGACTCCTAGTAGTTAGGTAGTAACTAGTGCCCTGGCACAGTTTTGGTCTGTCTCACATTTCATCCTTGTGAAGCCTGGAAGCCAGCAGTCCTCTTGTTACCCTCTCATTTCAACTCCTTTCCTTTATTTATTCCTTTATTTATCAAGATGTGTGCCAGGCTGCTGAGCTGCTGTCTGTCCCAGTGACAGAATGAATAAAAAAGGCACAACATACCAGGCACCACGAAGAAAAGGCTCCATCATCACTGCTCATTCAAGGCCTCATAAGAAGGCATCCAGCTCCAAAAGCATTCTGTCTTGTGAAGAATAGGATAAGAAGAGAGCGCTTTGAATTTCTGCTCCTACCTACAGATTGTTTGACTTATGGAGAGCATCCAGCAAGCTTGCTCTGGCTTAGCACTATGCAGATGTGCTGAAGAAAGATTGACAATAATACCTATGTTGCATGAAGAAATTTTTTCTTGTTTCACCCTAAGTTCAGCCTGAACTTCCCAAGTGGTTGATTTTCTTCAGAGCATAACCCAGGGTGGGACAAAATGCCTGGCAGGCAAATAACCCACACCTTTACTTTTGGCTCAGGCACCACAGTGTCAGGTGAGCTGCTCCCTGTTAAGTCAAAGCTGCTGAAATGCAATACTGAGTTCACTCAATCCATGAAGTTACCACCTTGCAGGTACTTCCCCCCTAAGAATACCCAGAATCCGTAAGAATACTCCAGATTCTTCTGAAAACTCCCCACTGCTTCTGAAGCACTTTTCAACTATGCTGCAAAGATGACCAATTTTCAGGCAGCAGATTCTGACTTTAAACTAGCAAACTATTGCCAGAACCTACCCTTTCCAACCGCTTACTACTGCTAATATGCTGGCTTGCTTCACTAAGACTTGCTGTGTATAGAAATTAGGTAGCCCAAGGATCACATGACATTTCCAATCAACAGCCAACAAAATTAAAATAGATGCTACTTGTAAACAGCAAGCTGACATTACCCAATTTGCACTCACTTAAGCTCACAGAAGACATTTGTCTGTTCTTTGAGAAGGCTGAGCTGAAAAATCGTTACTTTGCAGTTTATTCTTACTAAGAATTTTCAACGCTTATTGTGGAATGGGTTTCTGTATTTCCCACTTTAATTAGACATTTCCTGTGCATTTTTTTTTTCCTCTCTTTGGAAACTCTGACACTGCAAGAGTTTGAAGCACATTCACATGATTATCATACGCAACCTTTTAGAGGAACATAACAGAAGGATGACACAGTCCTAGTTATTCCAGACTCACTAACTGGGCAAGCAGGCAAGCATTGGAAACAAAACGCAGAGCATAAGGAAGTGCTTTTCTCCCCAGAAAAAGGTTGCTCAGCAGAACATACCACTGCCGCACAAATGTAGATGTCAGACGGTCACGCTGTGTAACACAGGCGAGTATTCAACAAGGAATTGGGACATCAAGGAGAGTAAGCCATGACCCTCAGTTTCCTCCTCACCCGGTGACATTCTGTTCAGTCCTCCCAAACAGCACAAGCTGCTCAGTTAATGGCCCTGTTACCAGGGGGCTGCATACTGTTCAGCTATACGTGGAAGATCATTTTATTTTAACAACAGATCAGCTGTACATACTGAAGTTGTGTTGATGGACACTACACAAGAATTGCTAGACTCGTATTAGTTCAGCAAAGACCAAAAAATACTGACCACCCATACCTTCACAGGCCTTCACTGGCTCTTACCATGGATGAAAAACAGCAGCCATCAAGAACAGACACAGTAGCTGCAAATAGTTGTCACAACCCTGTCTGCAGAGAGAAGTCCTAAAAAACAAACAAAAAAAAAAACAAAACAAAACAAACCACTAATACAGCAGCCTTCATATTCTTCTTCATCTGTAATAGTCCTAATTCATCCAAAGGCACTGGCCCATTATCCACACATTTCTGTGTGAACAGAAGGAACGGAGCTGAAACACTAGAGAACAAAAAACACTAGCTCTACCCTCAAAGAAAATCACATTGTGCTCCTTGTCTTTCCTAAAAGAAAAAAAAAAAGAATAAAAGAGATGAAAAACTCTTAATGAGCCCAGCTCCATAGCAAACATTTATTTATTAGAAAATCTACTCAATATGTACATGCAAAGAGATGAAAAAAGACTGTTGGACAGCTAACTGCAAAACACAGATGTCTGCTTAAGTAGAGTCCAACAGCCTTCAGGTTCGGGCTGTGATCCACTGAACTCATCCCACGTCAAGTGACCAGTGCTTGGATTTCAATTGCACAAAGTGGAGGATACCTGTTTTTGGATACCAAACTGGTTGGTTATTTAATCCTTGTTGTATGAGCTGCCACCTACAGAGAACAATTCAATATGAAACATGAAATGAGAAGGTGGGGGATCATTTTCTCCCAAACGTAACTAAGAGAATTGCAGCCTTCAGGTACAATGTTCTGTGCTACAGTAACCCTTGAAGTTGATCCTGAGTTTAGAACAGGGTCTGGATGATGCAGAGCCTGAGGCTGTATCATAAACAAATAAGGAACTTAGAGGAACCACAAGCAGTATTCATCCTGCACATTACAGGAACTATTCTCTTTTGTTTCCCTCTCACCCCACGCTGGGGAAAGGAGGGTAAGGTACAAGGGACAGGTTGCAGGAAATCAGTAACTGCATACAGCCACATCACGAAATATTCAAATCTGAAAGCATTGATGCTTCTTTGGTTTGCATTTACACTCCGATACCTGGTACAGTGAGGACCTGGCCCAGAACAAGATCTCCGAGATGCAATCTGAACACAAATAATGTGCAAAAAGACTGGAATAAAAATTGTAGATGCACTTGTCATTCTCAGTACAGCACTTCACATACATAATGAAGTTAGGTGCACTTGTAACCTTAGAGTACTCCTGTAGCTCCCTTGCTCCCAGGTAACCAGTCTTCAAACAAGCTGCCTCCAACACTTCTAGCCATTACAGGGAAGAAACACTCAGGGCCCCCTTTTCTCCCCATCCCAACCACTTTCAACAGGTAGATCTAAGATTTGTTTAATCTTTTTGCCCTTCCTCCACCTGAAAGCAGTTGCACAGTAGGTTGCTTTCAAACTCATACCCCATGGAAGCAGCCTGATGCCTTTCCATGAGATCTGGGGATGAGACGAACCATACACTGAGTTAAGGGGGAAGCATCAAGAGTCTCCAAAATCACAGTAAGGGCATGAAGCTCAACTCCTAAAGAGCTCATGAGGTGTAAAGTCTGCACTGGGCATGATCAGAGACCTGAATTCAAACAAAACCCACTGCAAATTTAAGGTATTCCTGTAATATTTCAATTAAATGTGCAAAGTAAATATTCCAAGCTCTTTAATTTTACCAAAATGTTAATGCTCCTATTTCAAAGGAAATGAGCTTTTTCTCTGAGATACATGGAGTTGTATTAGAGAAAATACCATTTCCTCTCCTTACCAGGGCACTCCTTCCTGCCTTGTGTACAAGAGGCAGAACAGGAGAGGCTGGCCAGCATCTCTGTGCTTTGAGGAGGCCCTAAGATTCTCTCACAAACACCGGACATACTGCAGTGAATTGCATGGTACACCATCTATTCTGAAGAAAAAGACTTAGTCCATCTGACTGAAAATAAATAAATAAATAAAATCCCCAAACACACAAACTCAGGATATTTCAAAACTCAAATTTCATCTCACCACACTTGTTGGAAGGAAGAAGCCCATTTCCAGTTTATCCTTCCACAGAGCAGTACAGGATTGTTGGATTACGTGATACAAGGACCTAATGGAAATGCTTCCCATTAACTCCCATTAGAATCTTAGCATTTGCACTTGTAAACAGAGTCTATACGCTAACAGTGACAGGGTAGTGCTTAACAGGAACTAGCCTTTTCAGGAACTAAATGCTAATGTTTGACTAAAGCCTGAGTCAAATGACATCATCTAATTTTAATGGAGTACTGGATGTTCCTAGTACTACCTGCCCCCCCTGTTGGGATTATGACCCCACAACTCAGAGGCAAAGACAAATGCACCAACTTCTCTGGTCATGCAGGTCAGTGTCCAATATTATTATACACACCTGGCTTTAATGACACTTTTAACAAATATACCAGATGCAAAATCTGGCAGCGAATGAGCTGGCTCACATTCACTCCACCATTTCTGCTACTGGGACAGGGTGAAAAGGAAGCAACAAAAATGGCCAGATCCAAGGCCACCAGGTGTTGTCACTGCAAGCCCAGAGATGGTTTCTCCACAGCTTACTGAATTTGTTAGGTCTGTAGAAGCTTACACTGGAATTCAGTTAAGCAAGAGAGGACTTGTTTGATTTGTTTTTAAAACAGTAAATCCAACTTTCGATACTCAGAGCTGAAAAAACAGTGATCTGTGAAATAGTTTCCTTTTATTTAGAGACGATTCTCTTTAGCATCCCCACCTCCAAGAACTACCTTACAGGTCTGTCTCCACATCCTCACCACAAGAGGATGGGAACCTGCTTCAGTTCCTGTTTTGTAGTATTTTCTGATACAGAGCAGTTTCAGCTTCTCCACAAGAAACCTCAGTATTTAAATGGACAGCAATGACACCTAGTGGCTTGTTAAGAATTTGCCTTACTAAATTTCCAGCTGTCATTTATTTTTAGTAATGAGACAAAGCACACAGCCCCCAGCATTTCAGTTACAAGTTTCCAACTAAATAGGCCAACAGCAAGAGCATCTGAAATTCTCTAGGAACACTTCCACAGTGCACACTCGCTGTTGTCTCCCCCAACTTGCAGCATTTCTCCAGTCACTTGCTTGAAGCGGAGGTGAGGTAGCTGGTACTGGTTTACTTTAGGTTTTGCCCACATAACTAAATTTCTTCAGCATAAATCTAGTTACAGCTATTTATTCTGGTTAAATAGGGCTTGCGCTTCCACCCACCTTTCTGGTTTTGTTCTCTACCTGCACTAAACTAAACGGTAGAGGTTATTTCCACAAAGAAGTCCTAAGGCCACATCATCTAACTGGTACATAGTTCATTCACAACTTAAAACAAATACCAAAGACTTGAAAAAAACAAACAAACAAAAAAAAAAAAAACAACACGTAATTGCACTGAAATTAAAGAGAAAAGAAAAATGCTGTTCTGAAAGTACAGAGGAAGAGATCTTGCAGACCGGACTTAAGGGAGAACATTAAACACTTCATTTCTGTTCACCTGCCCAGAACCTACCCACTCTTACCTTTTTCAGTGAGTGATACTGCAAAATTGTCAAGAAGCACAGGTGAATAGTTATTGAAATGTTTGAAACACAGGAGTGAGGTAAGCTCAGAAGACATCTTCATGTACCTTTCTACACTACTGACACCAGTCATTTAATCACTACTGGAGTCTTTGCAGGGGGTAACATTCTCCACAGCCTCAGCAGCAAATAACCTAAAGATTTTCTGTCAACAATGGTGAGGAACCATGACATTTGTGGTGTATGTACCTATTATACAAGCCCAGAGCCCTCTGATCATTAAAAATAAAAAAAATAAAAAACCTAGTTTCAGTTTTGTTAACTGAGATGTATTAATACTCAAGACTGAAGTCAGTGGATTTTTGAGGTACTTTCCCCATCAATCTATCTCACGCAAAGACTTACGTGTTTTGATTTACTTGGTATGCCCCAGTTTCCAGACATACACTTCTTCCAATATTGCAGACCAGCAAATCTCTCTGGAATGTTCTGTAAGCAAATATTGCTCCTTGTCAAGAGCAAAGCAGAAACGTTTATCTAATATTGTGACATTCTGTTGCGCTAAGAGGAAAATAATGGAGAACTACTAATAACATACCAGGAAAGCATACTGTAAACACTACAAAGTAAAAGGATGGAATAAGCATTAAGAATGCCCCAAGGAAAATAAGCAACTTTATGTTACTCACTGCATCAGGATGAGTTGCTACTCATGTTTCTGTTAAAAGGCAGAAAAAAAGCCACTTGCTTGCTTTGGACTAGGAAAAGGTTTGGGCACAGGGCTGCTGTTTCTTTATAATGGTTATCGACCTTGAATATCACACTGCTTACATGAAAAGACAATGATTCAGGAGCAGCCACTTACAACAGGTTTAATGCTGAACTTCAAAGGACATCACATTTAGTTCCATCACAAATTCTTCTGATAACAGCCATCAACTTATAAAAAGTAAAAGGCTATCCAGAGCCAAAGAAAACTACTGAATGGGGTTTCTGATCCACTGGTTTATGGAACCACTGAAACAGCAGTTTCTGATAAGCCAGCAACAAGCACTACAAGGCAATAATAACAAAACTGCTTATCCCATAGCTCTAGCAGTGAGAAGATTTCAAAACTTCAGATCTTCCTGCCAGCTCTGCTTTTTATTACTCACTTTACACAAGTAAAATTCATTCATTACAGGCTGAAGCTCCAAAAAAAGCATGGATGTTCTTCTGGAGTTATTAATAGTTATCAAAATTCTTAGGTCTGTTCCTTGAGGAAAGAAACTGATACTCCCTTTTAGTGATGTGAAGACCAATTTCTACATCCTATGAACAGAGTAAGTGACTTGCAGATTGAGACAGGTGCTGAAGACAAGCACAGACAGGTATGCAAAATAACAAGAGTTTTTCAGAGGACAATTGTTTTCTCTTGCCTTAATTAAAGTCATAGTTTTTATCCCCTAACAGTAGAGCTTCACCAAAATTTTAGTTTCTTTAGTAATAAAACAAGGAACCCAAGCTAAACTACTAGAGCTTTTTGTTGTTGTTCCCTGGGAAGAATTGCCTTCTGGGAAGAATTTTCCAAGTCAGAGCAATAGACCGGCATTGAGCTGCAGGCATCCCCAAAAAGCATCAGATGCTGTCAAGAAGGTAAAAACCTGCCTGATTACACAGCACTGGCTTCAAATAGGAGAGCAAATTTGTTACCACCAATTAGAGCTTTCTGTAGTCCATCCTTGAAGGAATCTATGACTAGATCCCTATTCAAGGGCAGCTTGAAGAGGAACAGAGGAGGGCAATACAAAAGGGTAGTGTTCCTACTTGTCTGGAGTATCAGTTAAAACCTTACTAGTGCATGTATCAATTTTGGTTTGGAGTGGAGATGAAAACAAAACCCACTATACAAAGGCAATTACAGAAGAAATGGGACGGCAGGGTAAACAGGCTAGAAAGCATTGCCAAAAAAAAAAAAAAAAAAGAGTCCTTAGAGAAAATCCAAATATATGGACTGGCCCATAAAGCTCGTGGGAAAGAAGAATTACACCCCCTGAATTGCAGGCAAATGACTTATGTGTATTGTGAGACACCTGCTTGAAAAATTATACACATTCCTGTATTACATTGTGTAGAAACATGTATTTGTGTGGCATGATGTTTACAAAATATATGTGCAAGAGCACTTCTCCTTTCATGTTCTCTCAGTGTATGTGGTTATAGCACTCATCAAAAAGGAAACCAAAGGCAATTCTAGCACTGGAAGTAATGAATAAATCTAGACTGCTGAGTGTTCCTTACTGCCATCCCTTTAAGGTTGTCTTCACCAAAACAGATACCACACTACAGGGAAGAGAAACCACACACTATTGCCAGTTCCTTCTGGGCAACAAGGCACTCCGTTAGCTTCCCACTGAGAACTTCAGAACTGCAAGTTGCAAACATCTAAAAAAATCCAGAAGATTAGCTTTAATTATTTTTCAAGCTCTTAACCATCACTACATCCCCTCATTTTTCAAGACTAGTTCACTGTAATTCCAGTAACAAGACCCCACTACTCTTTCCTTAGAATTGCACAGAAGCCACCATGTTCCCACTTCTGGAGCTTGTATTTCTACCACAGAAGCGTCACCAGTTGTGAACAAAACCACTCTAGTGTACTGACAGTTGCAGTTTTGGAGGAGAACTACAGCCAGCTTTGCATCTCCTCTTCGTACTTTTGGGGATCAATAAAGGGCTTGTCAATGGACCGGATCATCAGTTCTCCACAGTACACACATTCGGCTGCCACAATATCATCAATGTCAGCTTTGATTTGTTCCCGGCTCTGCTGCCCCTTCCCCAAGCTAGCAGTATCTGCATCCTTGGGACGATGGTGGCCTTTGGAAGGCTGACTGGTAGCTGCCAGCTTCTTTTGAAGATCTTCAAGCTTTGCCTGCTTATAGGCAGGAAGGTTTGGAAAAACTGCCTGAAGAAGACAGTCATAATGGAACATGTGACCACAAAGGAAAAGGTAAAATGGGCGGTTTAAAAGTGGAAAGTCACAAGCAGCACACTTTTCCTGAGGCTCAACAGAGCCATACTTATTTCTCATTTCCTGGATGTCTTCTCGAATTCTCTTGGCACTCTGTGTGGCTTCTTCCATCTCCCTTTTCAGCTCCTCAATGTGCTTGTTGTAGTCCTCCAGAGAGTTACAGATTGCCTCCTTAAAATGGTCAATAGTGACAAAGTCTGGAAAGAATGGCAGGACGTCTTCAATCTTCAGCAGGGCGCAGCTGGAAAGGCAAGCCATTGCCTTCTTGACATCTTTCTCTTCTTGAACAACATGGCGAGCAATCTTCAACCAGAGCTTCTTCCGGAGTTCCTCATCATCTTCAGGGAGGTCTGCACAGGACTTGGCAAGATCAACATCCACCTAGAAGTTGAACAGACGAGGAAACTGAGTTCAAAGCCTGCTGTCCATTACAGGAGGCATTTATAGAAAACCTCTTGCTATTTCATTGCCTAGGGCTTCACTCATCACTGGCCTGCTGCTTGTTTACATCGCAAACACCTCTCCATCGCTACTGCTTCAGTTAGAAGATTTGCTTACTACTGAGCAAAGAACAAAGCACAGCACTAAAATAAAGGTGTTACACTATCTTTGCCGGCTACACGCTTCAGTGAAGACACAGCAGTGCCAGTAGAGAGACCTCAAACATCTCCCTGAAGGTCAGACTAAGCTGACAAAAGCATTACTCTGATAATTACCACAGCTAGGAATAGAAAGCAAATAGAATCCTGAACAACAGCTGAAAAAGCCTTGCATAAATGCAGAATAATTTTATGTTGGAGACTGAGCTTAAGACAGACAGTATTCCCCCTTGTACTTTTCATACCCACACCTTCAATTAAAGTCAGCTGTCCACCTAAAACAGCTGTGAAAGCACAGACATTAAGAGCCTTTCCTCCTAGACTTAGCTGCACAGCTCCTATACAGATGAGTCTGTCCATTTCCTCTCAGTTTTCAGTTATTTGAGATAACTTGACCTAGCTACATACATCATAGCATGCAGGCAGACACACATACCTGTAATGCAAGATCCACGGCTTCTTCATATAATTCCATCACTTTGTAAATATGGACACAAGCATGGTGGTGCCCATGCTCTGCACACAGGCGCAGTGCGTACTTCAGATCGTAGTGGATCCTGTTTGGATTGGTTCCTGCTTGCTCCAGGTATGATAGTAGCGAGTCTGGCCGACACAAAGCGTAGAGAGACAACAAGTAGTTATGAATAGCTTGCTGGGTTTCCTCCAGCTGATAGACACAGAACTCCATGTATCTAATGGCTTCATTGATCTGCTGGGTGCTGGCACTCTGGCTATAGTTAACAAGAGCTGGAATGAGATTCCTGGCATCAAGTCTGGAGCCCATAGAAATCCAAGCATCAACTACCTTCTTGGGAATATGCTGGATGAGGACTGGGGAGAACTTGTAGAACAGCTTCTCATCTCTGTGCCTAGACAGCACATTTAAAGCTTCATCATACTCATCATGCTGGCAGTGGTGAGCTACTACTCGCTCATAGTCCTGCATGATGACTGCAAAGTAGACCATGTGCTCTGTGTCCCCATGGCTCGCCAACAGTTCATAAATAGATGCCCGATTATTAAACAGACAGTCTTTGTTTTTAGGGCTGCTCAGGAAGGTGCGAAATTTCTCCCGCGTATCCAAATAGAGATTTCGCTGTGAGGGATCTCCTTCCAATATACCTAGCCAGTTCAGATACAGCTCTGTTAACCACGTGGTCAGAAGAGTGGTCTGTGTCTTCTCAGAAGGCTTCAGGCTACTTAGCTTCTTAATCAGAAACTCCATCAGGGCCTCTTCTTGCTTGGCTTCAATGAACTTAAGGGCAATTTCCTCGAAGTAGTTCTGGGTCAGCGCATAACATTTGGCACTGTCTAGGTATCTCTTGTTTTGGAAGCAGTGCTCTGCCTCTTTTGCCAACACAATGTCTAGGCACTCTGGACGGTCTTTACAATACTCTTTAGCTAAATCAAATTTGTTCATATTCATATACATCTTCCACACATCTCTAGATTCCCGCTGGACGTGATAGCGGAACACTACTTTCTCCGTGTGGATCCATATCTGCTGAACTGTGGGATCCTTGATCATGCGTGTCAATGTGCCAAACTTCTCCAGGAACAGGTCTTGAAAGACAACCTGCTCATTCAGAGTGCATACAGCCTTTACCCGGTCAGGCAGCAGCAACAGAAAGTGAAACTGGGTAAGTACAATGGATATTGGCTTGTTCACAGTTATGTCAATATCAGAAGGATAAACCCAGACCCGTTCATCACTCAGAATTGAATCAGGACGGCTATAATCCAAATTACCATACAAAACACCATTACCCATCATCCAGGCAAAGGAGCGTGGGTTGGAACGCAGTTTTGGAGTGTAAAAGGCTATCTCGCTGAAACCGAAGCTGGCTGGAAACTCCCGGAAGCTGGGCAAATGATCAGCATGCAGAGCAAATATGGAGCTGAAGCCTTGCTGCTCTGTCCCTTCAGGCACTTTGCCAACAAACTGGAATAGTCTCTTTCGAGTGGTGGCGATAATAAAAAATTTTCCTTCTATTCCTCGTTCAATCTCTAAACAGCAGACTGGTGCGGGTCCTGATTCCTCCTCCAGAGTGTAGACCTGTCGGAAGTACTGGTCGGGATTAGTGCTGAAGAGGCTTCCCTCACTGACAGATATTTCGGCTTCATAGATTTGCCCCTGGGCTGTTCCCACCAGGATAGGCCCAGTGTTGGTCTCTGTACCAAGAAATTTGTTCCAGCCCACGCTTTCAATTAAGTGGCCTTTCCAGCGGGAGAGTGTCCGTGCTTTCTGAACACTTCTGTTAAGGTAAAGGCATTCACTGGTGTTCAGAGCAATCAGCAGATGAGAGCCTGCAGGGGCACGGGAGAAGGGCAGAAGGATAGAACAAATTTACACTGTTGCCTAAGCAAGTCAAATTCCTAAGGCTTCTCAGCCTCATATTAGATAAGCACTAGTATCAACAGACTTCATCAACATACTTTTCCAGGCATTCATAAGAACATGGGGGATTTCCATACTGGATCAGAACAGTAGTTCATGTTGCAAACTAAAATTGCAAATCCCAGAATCTTCAGAAAAAAGGTATTCTTCTATTTTAATAAACATTCTAAGAACAAACATTTCCCAGAGTTCTCTCCTGTCCCTGGCAGCTAATGAGCATCTCTTTCCAAAAATTTTGTTTGGTTTTAAATCAGTCAAGGCTACAGCAAGCTGCAGATGTTTGACAGTTCTTTAAAAAAAAAAAAACAACTTACATATACACAAACAGTACAAGGCAACTGCAAGGATTTCCTATGGTTTCTTTTAGCAGCCTTGTTCAGAACAGCCTCATTGCATCAGTGAACAGCCTCATTGCATTTCAGATGGTTCAAAAGCAACAACATACACACGAATCAGTAGGCAGAACCCCTGGGCAATGGAGTACAGCCCACAAGAACCATCTGTTTGCCTTATTCACAGAACAGAGAAAAAGAGGACTCCTTCCCCAGTACTTGCAATGCACATTCAGTTGTCTCTGCTGCCAACCACTGCCTGTAAATATACACAGCCCATTGCCTCACCTGTGTGGTCCAAAAACATCTTGTAGACTCTGGCTTCATCTTTGCGTCCCAACTCTACCTGATTAGGTTCATCTGGCTTCCCAAGATCAATCCTGCAAAGAGAAACTATGAAAGAATGCTGCCCACAAAAGTTCACACAGGCATAGTTTCTTACAGTTTTCCATATATGCAGGTTTGTGGCTTCTTATCCCTTTTTTAATTACAAGTTCCCTATTAACTTAAAAAAAAAATAAAATAGGAAAACATTCAATAACTTCAGGTGACTGGCAGCATTACCTGAGAAGGGTGTCTTTGCCAAGGCTCATACAGAGCTGGTTAGAGGAGACCACTAAGCTGTTAATTTTCTCTGGAGGAGCAAAATCAATTCTTTGCTTGTTAAATATTGGTGTTTCCTTCTCCAGCCGTGCATTCACATACCCTGGAGAAAGAACGTGAACACTTATACAACACAATACAAAGAAAACACAAGAACTACATGCTACACCAGAATCTACTCTTGAAAGACAGAGGAACCACTGCCTGCTTTAGGTTTTACCAAAAAGATACAGTGCTCTGTGGAGCATAAACACTGAGAGCAGCACTCCCGTAAGTGCAAAACAGAAAAGTAGTAATATGCCTTACTGTCTTGTTACAGAAATGCAAGCTTGTCACAAGGAATTCCAGGGCAAGATACAGAACTGTTACATAAACTGCATATGAAGCTGAAAACGGGAACAGAATCAAAAGACTTTTTTTTTTTTTGGGGGGGGGGGGGGGGGGGGGGAGGGGAGGGAGGGGGAGGGGCAGTTTATTTGTTCAAGACAGAAGAAAACAGCTGGTATTATGTAAGACACAAAAAGCGCTCTGGTTTGACACTCCCATACAAGGTACAAAAGAGACAACTGCAGCGTTAGCTGAAATATATTTCTTACTTTTTCCATATTGGAATTGAATAGGCTACAATATTCGACATCCATAGTGCACAAGGTGAAGTTATTTTTAAAACCATGTTAATGTTAATTTGTTTGTTGATGGTGAGGATGTTATTTATGCGTGTTTGTTGTTGGTGGTTTTAGTTTCATATGAAAAAAACAACAACCAAACAAGTTATAATAATCATCAGCAAAATCCTGGAACATCTGTACATCCACAAACAGATCGTATCTCAGAGTTGCATCCATATCTGTCCCACGAGGCAGGTTTTCCCATTGACTGAGTTTCCCATACGCACAAAGTATTACATAATCTTCTGGCAAAGAGAACAGCAGAAGATCGCAGTCTGACCACACTACCTCCAGCTGGAAAGCCAGACAGATGGGATACGTGGCTAGGTTAACTCATCTGCTTTGCTCCATGAGCAAGTGAAGGATTTCTAAGGCAAGTAGATCCACGCAGCAGGTAGCCTGAACAGGAAGATTAAAAGCAAAACAGAGCTACTACAAGTTAAGGCCACTCACCGCCAAAGCAGCTATCCAGCAAGATGTACACAATGAAAAATTTGTATCTTGGAGGAAACAGACTACCTCCATTCTGAAGAGCATTGGCCTAATAATCTCTAGGCTGGGACAAACAGCATCCCTCCAATGCATATTCCATACCTATAACCTCCTCCACATTATCCTGAAAAACTTTAACTCCAGCCCCATTGTTGTTGAAAACAACAGCACAGTAGTAGAATGCAGCCTAACACTATGATTCCTTTTATTGCTCTTTCTGCCAGTATCTTCTCCTTGCTTCTGCCTCAACACTAGGCCAGCTGTGGGATCTTTAAAGGATTGCTGGTTTAGAAGAGAGATGTGCACACGGGAACAGACAAAGCAACCACAATCTGAGTAGGCAGCCTCTTGCTCAGCATGAGTATTTTTCCTCCATGCTGATCCACAGCTGAAATGCTACCCACTCATGCAAATGTGCATTCCTTTCTTTACACTTAAGCAAAACAGATGTTCTTCTGCTCAGGTTAAGCAGCTGCAATGCGAAGGCCTGAACTTGCTGTTATGAATGGTGGTTCAAAACATGCAGACAAAGGTCCCAAGGTAGAGATTCACATGATGTCACAGGTAACCAATATATATTTCCTCCATATATGCTTATACACCCCAACAAGATCTTCAAGTCCCATTCATTCAGAGAGTCTTGATTTCTTTTCAGATTGCCACCAGGCAAAAGGCAGACTGGGACAGAAAGAGGTAGGATGTTTAAGGGATTGTTTGTTTTTTATACAGTTCAAATCAGCACACTGTAGACTTAAGACTGTTTCCATTAGCTATAACAACTGCAGCAGCAGTATTAACATGAGGATTTTAACTAGTGTCTGTAACATGACACGGATGCAGTTCTCCAGCTTACAATTCCCTATACAAAGGAGATAAATATTTTACAACTCAATATTCCTTTCAAACAGCCTCCTTCCTCCATCCTGACCTCAATGTCCGCTTTCTGTTCAGGTGAGATCCTACTGCAATATTTCCCACCCTGATTTCTAAAAACTATGTTTTTCCTTAGACCTTTGAATCTGTTCAAGGATTTAAGTTCACCAGCATCAATCGAGTCTACCAGGTCAAAGTAGGGCTTTTCAGGCTGGAACTGGAATACTTGAAGGTTACACTGCAGCTGTACTTGAGCTCTGCAACAGAATCTACAACTCTGAGAAACAGTACCTGTTCTGTAACGTTGGGAATGACTCACTGAAACAGAGAAATACATTTTTAACATCTTCCAGTATTTTCAACATAACCTTAAGGACTGGTTTGAGGAATTTAACTATTAACTTACACTTCTTTCAAAATCAATTTGCTTAAACTTAATTTTGCCCACAACTTTAGGCATTGGAACGGGCTGCCCAGGGAAGTGGTTGAGTCACCATCCCTGGAGGTCTTTAAAAGGTGTTTAGATGTAGAGCTTAGGGATACGGTTTAGTGGAGGACTCTTAGTGTTAGGTCAGAGGTTGGACTTGATCTTGAGGTCTCTTCCAACCTAGAAATTCTGTGATTCTATCAGGCTAAGTTTTGTTCCAAAATGGCAAAGCATTCTGACGTATGAATGACTGAAATCATGACTGGACTGAGTCCTTGCAATTAAGCAGTTTCCAAAACCTCCTTTGCCAACATCATTTGTCACCAAACAGGCAGATTTCCCAACTGTAAGACAGCCATGACTGAAGACAGCGTTGCATAAGTCAAGAAGAAAAGTTGAGTCCTTGGAAATGTATTTTCAGCTGGCACCATGTCCCAACACTGCTTTGTTCAACGAAACCTATTCAGGACACTTACTCTTACATAACATCATGCAACAAAATAACTTAACATACATTAAAACAAACAGTAGGTACATATCTACTTAAGTATGTAGATTCAGAGTAATTTTGTGTGTTTTTTCTTTATAATACATACATGAGTATGTCAATGCATATATGAGTATGACAATTCATCAATGCCATGTATACAAGCATCCCAACCTGTTTTCCCCAAAGACAGCGGGCAGCACTGTATGAGGAAAAGACTTGAAATAACATGCCAATGCATTTCCAGAAGTGTAACCCCCATATGCCAGCTCTGCATAGCAGTGGGTACTACCTTGATGATACCAGCTAGCACAGAATCCTCCCTCAACCAACATTTCCTCCCCCAGCATTCAATATGAAGTGGCATCTGATGGCCATCTATTACTGAACCTACGGGGTTTACCTTGGATTTATCAAGAAGGGTGCTTGCCATTTGGTTGCTTTCTCACATATGAAAGAAATGAGCGACTGGTCACCATACCATTGCTTTACACTGACTGCACACCCCAAATCACCCCAAACAGCGAAACTTTTAGAAAGTTGCGCCAGTATAGGAAACCAACCCCATGCAGGTACAACTGCCTGCACAGCCACTGCGGCTGCAGCAGTTGGGTTCCTTGACAAAGACTAAAAATTAAAAAAGAGGAAGCTGTTGATGTGGCCTCTGACAGCTCCCCCAGCCCTGACCTAGCCGTGCTGCAGCGCGGTGAGGCTGTAGGCACGCCGCCTGCCACAGACACCCACCACACGGCGCCTCGGGGCACTCGGCCTTTCAGGGACACCCCTCGTCCTGAGGCACCCCGGCGCCTGACGTGCCGCACCGGGGCCCGTCCGTCCGTCCGGGCAGCGGAGAGGCGCTTACCGGAGTGCGGGATGCCCACGGCGGCGCGGCTCTGCTGCACGGCGGCGGAGCGGTGCAGGGAGTCCTCGTACTCGTCCAGGATGGACGCCATGGCGCCCAACGGCCGCACCAACGGCCGCCGCCAACGGCCGCTTCCGCCAGCCCTCACGTGAGCCGCCTCACGTGCCCGCCCGCCGCCGCTCCGCGCCTGCGCCGTGGCCGCCCCCCCCCCCGCTCCGCCCCTCCCGGAGCAGGGGGGGGGTGAGGGCGCCGCCTCCTCAAGATGGCGGCGGGGGGATTCTCGCTGTAGTGGTGGATGCGCACGCATCTGGTGTCCTCAAACGATAGCTGGCATGCTAATAAACACTTCCATGCAAACTGACACGTCTTTTTTTTGTGACTGTTTTATCCAGTCTTGGCTTTGTAGCTAAGCAGTGATTGCCACAAAGCAGGTGGTGATCCAGCGTAAGGCTGACCTTGAATTGGGATAGATTTACTCTGCCTGTTTGTCCCATCTTTCTAGGCAAAGCTTGCTTGTTAGACCCAACTTCCCTATCAACAATACTTCAAACCTGGATTTTTGTTGTGTTCGGATTATGCCAACAGTTGTATTTACAGCTTTGCCCTCTAAACTAGCAGACTTCGTATCTGGCGTTAATGAAGTTAATCTTACACAACGCTTTCAGGCTTCATCTGATTTATATTATTTTACAATGAGAACATGTATGTGTATGTACTGTATGTATACAAAATATATTATGTGTAAACTTAACAACACCTGGCAGAAACAGAGAAATGTTATCCCATAGAGTACAGGACAGTTTAAATCACAGACAGACACATTGCAAAATTAAAGTTGGTCATCCCCATCTTTGCACATCAGCTGGCAGTGAGTAGCACCACCAGTAGCAACAGCACATGTTTAGCTCTGTACAAACTAACACAGTTACATCTCCTTTTCCTCTGCCCTTCTTCTGCAAACCTCACCCCCATAAACATTGCTCCAAAACACAGCTCTGTGCCTCAGGCCTTCTCCCCAGTGCAGAGCCAGACACGCAGGTCCCACGCTGGCTGGGCTGCTGGAGGCTTTTGTAGCATGCCTCTGTGGGGTCACCTGTGTCTGCTTTGCTAAAAACACAAGGTGGCTCTTCCTGACTCAGCCTGTCTACAAGCACTGGCAGAAGCCTAAACCCAGGTCCTGCCCCAGCTGGTTACCATCTTTGTGTGACAGCTCTGAGACATAACAAAACCACATTCCTTTGCTCTCCAATCATCCTTATCATCATAAACTGCAAGTGTTCTCATTTGGCTTTTCAAAAGGTACACACAAATTGCATTAGGTTTAGGAAAATTAGGTAGGAAGGGTTTTATTGGACTATCAGATCCATTCTCCCACTCTGGCAGATACCACATCATATACTCCTTTCTCTGTTCCTATCAAGCTCTGTCTGAAAGTGTGGGTATTTTTCCCCAACTGCTCCAGCCCGTACCTGTCCCAGATGCTGATTGCTCTCATGATTTTGAGCTCTGATTTCCACTCTAATGTAAGCCATGGCTAGTCTGAATCAATTTGTTCTTGTTCAAACACTGTCCTGTGGTGTAAATAGTCCTCCCAATCAGGCATTAACTTCCTTCACAAAAAGTCAACTTAGAACCTTCATTCTGATTGAAAACCCAAGATTTACCAGACCAGGATTTTTCCTTTCTTCTCTTAAAAAAGAAGAAAAGAAAATGAGACCGTTTCCTGGAACATACCAGCATACTAGTATTTTCTGCAGCAGTTGCAGCTTCAGCTCGTCTTCACGTAACATGAATTTAACCCCTCCTTTCAGATGAGGTCTCCCCTTTTGCCTTAAACAATTATGCTTATACTTTTGTATTTTTAGCAGTACAAGAGTGAAAGATTGCTTGGTAAGTGGAAAAGCCATCTCAAAATGTAACTGGAAATTAGGCTTAACTGAAATTTGTGCACAAATTTCTCAATGTACAGGTCCATGGAATATTTCCATTCAAATCCCACAGGACATATTTTTATAATCTTTCTCTTCTTGGTCAGGTCCAGAAATGGAAGAGATTTTCTTTCCCATTTTGGTAGATACCAATGCCGGTTAGGACTGATACCTCACAAGAAAGCTTTGTTTGAGTTTAGTGTGGTTAAATTGGATGCCAGATCCTCCCCTTATTTGGGAATGAAACATCAGCCTAAAGTTAACCCAGGCCACAAGTCTGCTCCGTCCATCTGCACTATCATCTGCTGTGATTATTTAATTTACAAACATGTGCAATAATTATATCCCAGTGCTGCATTCACAGGTTTGATGTTCCGAAAAGAAGAGGGGAACAAGGGTTGTGGGCAAAAGATTTATGAGGTCTTTGATTCACCAAGACTGTGTGGAGAATCAAGATGATTACTTTTTGTGTGTAGTATTAGTGCAAGTCTACAAGAGGGACTCATGAGAGAAATTTCAGTGAGCAATTTTGGTGATCTGTTTCAACTGGAAGCCTAAATTCTGGCCTTTTTTGTTTGTTTGTTTATTTTTTTCTAATGGATGTGCTCACATTCACAGTAGCTTCAGCTTAAACAGTTAATGTTTTCTCCCAGCTATGGGCACAGCTATCAACATCTAGATGCTCTATAATGTCTGATCTACTCAACTTCTGTCAGGAACAGATTGTAGACAACAGTGTTGATGAACACATACTATATTGGAGCTCTGGATACCCAGGAGATTGAGCTTGCCTAAATCCAGGTTTCCACAATACCATCTCTGCCACTCCTGGCTGCCCTGCCCAGCCCATTCTGTGTGCCAATATTAGCTCATCTGTGAGATGAGTGAGCCAGTTCAGTGCCACGCACCAGATGACTGTGATCCATGATCTAAACACAAGTGCTGGTGCAGAAGGGCAGGCGGGAAGATGTGGCTTTCAGGAGAGGTAAGGACACAACAAAGGCAGCTCATATTTAAATTACGTGAACTGCCCTGGAGATAACCTGGTAACAAAATTATAATGTGAATTAAACCCTGGACTTCCTCATAGATTTTTGCTGTAGTTGTGGTACTGGTTATCCCTCTACCTCCCTGTCTGTAGAGTATTATTTTATTGTGATCAATACAAAAGTATTCCTCATTTGTAAAAGCCATGGGCAAACAAATGTACTTCCCCAAAAGCAACAACTTCCATAAGATACCAAGAAGGGTGTAACATACATGTATAGCCAGGCTCTCAGACAGGCTCTCAGACCATGCTTGTTTTGAGGAAAATGCTGCATATGCCTGTGTCCCCCACCCAATCAAGAGACCTTCTCCCATTTGTGTCTCTTCCCCAGTGATGCAAATGGTGCCTCTGAGTGACCAAATGTCTTATATGTACGTACCTACTATAGCAAAAAGAAGGTCCCACAGTTGTCTAGCCATGGGTATCATGGTTGCCTGCAAGAACCTCAGCTGGAACTCAGCTCAGTAAGAATCTATAAAACAATTATAATTTACACTGGAAAAGAAATCAAAGCTTGAAAGGAGTTTGCCAGAGCCCACCTCCTAAACATTAACCACTCTCCCATGCTTTCCAAGCCGATTGTCAGGAGCAAACATCCTGCAGACCAGTAAGCACTGCATGGAACCATATCACAGACCAACTTACTACAGCTCTTCTGACAGCTCAGTAAATTTTCCCACTTCAGAGCATGCTGTCCTTCAGTTAACACACTGAATGCCCTAATGAAAACTCTCTAGGTGTAAGTGCCAAAATGAGCATACAAACACAAGAGAGAAAGGACAGAAACATGCTTTTGCATTGAGAAAACCATTTTCCCATGGCCAGCACCCTCTGGCTAATCCCTCAGTTCTAAAACTATTAACTCTTCCGGAAAGTAAAAACCAGAGATGTGGCTGAGGCAGTGGTCTTACAACATTTTATGGTTTTCCTAACTATGCGTTTTCAGCCCAGCCCCTCACTGTTCAGTGTTAAGTGCCTGCCCTTCCCTATTTCTCATGGGCAATGCAACCTTATCACCTTCTTCTTGCTAATTCCCTCACCCTTTCCAGTTAAGTGTTAACTCCTCTTTTCACTTGAAGTGTCTAAGAGATTGACATAATTAAATTAGCCCCGGAGCATTGTCTCCCAGGTTACCCTTAGTCTGAGGTTTGCTGTTCCTTTTCAGATTTAAAGAAAGGGCTTTGAGTGCCTTAAATCTCGCCTGCTTTTTCACATTTATCAACTGATTTAATGAAAGATACACTTTCTCCAGCAGGTGGCAACATACTTCTAAGTGATTTATAGAACATCAAAGAGATAAAACTCATTCTGTGCAAGTCACATAAAAGATAACTTGTCTTTGAGAAAGGGGCTGAATACAATATAGGTGCTTAATCTTTCCTTGGAACAATTAAGAAAATACTTTTGAAGCTAGTGGCACTGTCATTTGTTATTAATTTATTATTCTACAATCTTAAAATCTATTATAATGCTGTTGTTGTTATTTGCCTTCACATTTAAGTAGTGAGGCAGTGAACAGATGAACCTGGCCCCGCTTTTAATTCCAAACAGGAAGAAAGATGTTCAGAGGCCAGGACAGAGGGAGCTGTTTTCTCCCATTGTTTCTCTCCTTTTTCTTTTTTCTTTTTTCTTTTTTTTTTTTTCCTAAATGGCATTTCAAAATCACATACCTCTGATGCGCAACAGTAACACCCATTAGCTGCTGTAAAATCGTAAAGCATTTTTATTGCTGTGGACTCAGAAACTAATGAGTTCCTATCAGTCAAGAAATCTATATGGGAAAGCAAATGCTACGATCTTTCTTCCTTTGATTTCAGATGTGGTAATTTTTCTGTGAATAACAGAAGCCTGGTATTCCACTGGCTTGTGCTTTGTGGCTATTTATGCCTCTGCAAGGTTGTAAGAAAATGATATGGAAAAAGCATTTGACATCACTTCCTGCAGGCTGCAGTGACTAGACAAGGTACACCACAAGGGAAACCAGACGCAGGCTCTCATCTTTACCTTTTTGTCTGTCACTTCTTTTAAGTGGTAATTATGCTTGATTTTTCCCAGGGAGGATATACACTCAGGTGCATGACAAAATGCCCTGTGACTCAGCATTTGCTGTCTCCCTGCCTGTGATTATGAAAGTGCCTTGCCAGGCAGTGGCTATGTTTGACTTCGTGAGCGTATCCCATGGCATCCTGTGATCCTGTTTGCTCT